TCGTCGTCGTCGACGAATAGTCCGATTGGATTATTATTATATTCTGCCGATAATCTTCCGCGGTATAGACGAGGATTCCGTCGTCACACGGCTGATGTCATATTATACCACGGTAACACACCACACGAGGCATACAAAGCAGGGTCGGGCGTGTGCGATCATTTGGAAAATACTCTGTGTGTGTGTATAATAATATTGTACGTGTGTATAATATTTTATAGGGTGTATAAGGTACCCATATAATATTTATTATATATATGAGTTTAGTATTGTATAGTCTTTTGCCGCTTCTGCTGCCGCCGCGCGTATTCCTTGTACACGACCTCAAGGGATGTTTTCTTCACATATTATTATTATTATTATGTGTGTGCCGCTTCCGTTGTCGACCGCGAGCACAATTGAACTCGGGGGTGGTCGATGTGAGTGGTGCTTTGGCTGGAGGGTAGAGGAGGGTGCAAAGTGGAAATGAAAGAAATCGACGACGGGGATGGCATTCATCGCACACTCGCCTAAGTATATATAGGTACGAGTTTTTGGGTGGACAACGACTTTCCAATGACGAGGAGGTCCAGAATGCTGTCGAAAATTGGCTTCGGGAGTTGGAGAGGAAAATATACGACGAGGGTATACAAAAACTGGTCTCTAGCTTCAAAAATGTATTGATCTTAATGGCGATTATGTAGAGAAATAATGACATGTTTCGACACTTATCTCGTAAATTTCATTTAAATAAATCAATTTTTCAATTTTTAACACATGTTGTAACCTTACTTTCTGGACGTGCCTCGTATTATAGATATTATATATATGTGTCAAATCGTCAAACGATCGAAGACGTACGTTCACCTAATATTATAGTATAGTTGCAATATGAATATATGTACGATAAAACATAATATTATACATCGGATATTAAGCATGTATATATGCCTTATTTTGTTAAATAGTTAAAAAGATTTAACATTATTTGTGACTAAAATATTTATGAGTTACAAATATTCATTATTAAATATGCAAATAGTTGACAATTAAACTTTGAATATGTGTTAAATTATATCAACCAACACTTAAAAAAAAATAATATGTATTAACTATAAATTAAAAAAAAATGATGGTCTGTCAAATCTTGATAAAATTAAATAATTGAATTCTTTCAACGGAATTTCTTTGAAGATTTTCATTAGTCTATGGCACTTGCCCCAGCCAAGGAATAGTTTGTATACACTATACAACTACATTATCACGGTAGCAGTACGACACTTTTTTTTTTTTGAATAATTTTTTTTTCAACTAAAAATTATCAAAACACATTTTTGAATACATTTCATTAATGGATGATAAAAAACTATGTTCCACGTAAGAATACAGTAAGATGGTATGTTCCATTAAACTGACATTTTGCAAAACTACGTCGCTGTTAGCCCACCTGACCTTACGGTAAAACATAATATTATACATCGTATATTATTATACCCGGAGAAGAGAGGAATAACAATTTTAGATTCTGAATGGAACGATGAATGTATTGATTTTATAATGATGTGTGTTTTTTTTAAAATTTATTTTTGTGTCTGTCATCACATTTTAGGACAGTAAAAGTGCTTGGATTTTCTTCAACAGTATCTTTTCTGATAGGAAAGTGAATCTAGTTTGTACTTTGGGGGGTCAAAAGTGAAAATTTCCCAGTAGTTTTCAAAAGCGCCGTGAAAAACAAAAGAAAAATTAAGGAAAAACGGGAATTTTTACGCAAAATCTAATTTCGAGAAAACATATATATATTGTAAAAATATGAACTTAAGAGGATGCTACCCATGCATTTGTTGTCTCTGTCTTGCACACGTACGACATAGCAAATTTTCATTCACCAGTTTCAATAGAGTGCTGTTAGTTTTAATATTAGAGTGATTTTACCTATTATAAATTGATTATAATATAATAACATTATCTGTGCTTAAGCGTTGGCTTTTATTCGATATTTTAATTTTCAAGCGATATATGAGCATTTTTAATTTTTGATATTTCACATACCCATATCTTGCTTCAAAATGAAAATTTCGAAAAATCAGCAACGCTTTTAGCACAAATAATGTTCTTACCTAAAAGTATTATAATAGGTCAATTAACTCTAGTATCAAAACTAACAGTACACTATTGAAACTAGTGAACGACAATTTGCTATGTCGTGCGTGTGTATCGCAGATAGGTATACGGAGATAGCAAATGTATGGGTACTGGGTAGCGTCCTCTTAATAAAATGGCAGTAATGCAGTGTCTTGGAGATGTCAGTGTTGTAAATCGTATATGACAACGCTATCTAGCTAGGAAATTAAGCGGCTGTTAAAAATTATTCGTCGGCGTTAGATGGCGCTGCCGTTATCGAAATTATTTAAATCTAAATAATAATACCAGACAATGCCAGCATAGATTAAACCTCACCAAACCTCACTAAACCTCACTAAACCTAACTAAACCTCACTTAACCTAACTAAACCTCACTTAACCTAACGAAACCCAACTAGACTTTAAGCACTGGTGTACTACCGACGAACAACGCCGTGCATAGGCCCAGTGGCGTATTTACGGGGGGGGGGGTCCCCGGGTCTGGACCCCCCCAGAAAAAAATATAATATAATATAATTATTACATCGTAACTCGTATGTGTTTTTTTTATATTATAAACTTGTAGGTACCTAATATTTAGACCCCCCCACAAAAAATTTCAAAATACGCCACTGCATAGGCCCATCTATAATATTCAGAACCCCCTTTTCTCTTCTACAATATTTTGATAATAAGTGTTTTTATTCTTATAATTCTTTTATATATTTTGAGCTGTTTACGGACATTTTCAGTTTCCAATGTTTTAAGTATTTTTTATTCTATAAATATCAATAAAATGTTATTTGTTGGTCAAAAAAGCTTGAAAATTTAATAGAAGGCTCCTAGTATACTTTTTCAAAGGCAGATGAAAAATATTAAAAATCCTTAGTCACAATTTTTTTTTATAAGCATTTAAAGTTCAAAAATTGACAAAATATGGAAAAATCACAAAAATTAGCAAATTACCTGTGCGGGCCTGACTTCCATATCCTGCCCGAGCGCGCAGAGGAGGAGTCCAGCCTACTCCACAACGCCGCCGAAGAATTCAGGCTGTTCTACAAGATGACCGAGGGCATCCTGTCACTGAAAGAAGAGGAAGAACGAGTAAGGCAAGCTCCTGTCCAGGCCGTCTAGAACACCGAGCAGTCCGTTGCCGCGCACCCGATATCTCCGCCCCCTTTTGGGCTAGGATGTTCGGGTTTGCGGGTCCATGTCCAGGGGCTCAAAAGCCGGACGGGGGGTTTTGGAGGGGGCAAAATTTTTGCTCCCGAAGCCGTCAGATGAAAACCGGCCGAGCTAGAACCGAAAAACCGGTAAAAAAACTCAGTCTCAACAAAGTGTCAATCGAATGTACGAATTGGCAGCCCGGAACGAGGCACGCCTCCCCAATCTGGCAGCTAGTCATTACCGATGGAAGCAGACCACAGCAGCATCGGGTTCCAGCCAAGCAGAGCCCGGAAAACTGACACGCAGCCAAGCAGAGGCGAACGTCGCAAGAGGCAACCTAAAACCGCAAGTCGACGGTTTACCGTCTATTTTTCTTTCGGCTAATTTTTCTATTCGTAAAACACAGTAAGGGCCGTTCTTACAATGTCCGTAAAGTGTCGGTTAACGCTAACCGACTGATTACAGATTTTATTACCAGCAGAATTCAGCCGGTTAACCTTAACCGGACATTGTAAGAAGTGTATTTCACAAAATTATTCAGGAGAAGCAAATTAGCGCTGTCCATGCAACTATAATGCACTGAACTAAATACATGTATTTAGTTCAGTGCTATAATGCAACTATAGATGGCCAACTAGTGTATATAATTGACCATATCTCATAGTAACAATTTTGATACCATTACAACCGGAATACTATGTGGAACAAGATAAACGAAAAAAACGTAAATTGATAAGAATGTCACTTTTACTGTGTTTCACGAATAGACAGCCGTATTGTAATATTGTATTCCTATGCAACACTGTACGTCCCCCGGGCCCATAGATAAAGGATATTTCCTTTATCTATGAGTAATTTCATTTCAATTGCTATGTGGTATCATTTGTGGTATGCTCGTCGGGTGCAGCCATTATTTAAGTTTAAATTATCTATTGTCCAATGTCGGAATGTCCATTAATCATCATTACATTATCTTTAATCGTCATTTAACATTTTAACTGGACAACTATCTAAGGCCAAACCAGAAATATTATTATACAAGAAATCGTTATCGATTGGAATGCATTATGCAATGAATTGTTAAAAAACAATAAATTGAAAACAATAAATAAATTAACGGAAACCCAAAAGTAACTATATACCTAGTTTGTAATTTTTTAACTTAACAGTTAGGAGGTAGCTAACTTTTAAATTCGTTAATGCCCAGACATGAAAATTTGCATTACCTACATAGCACTTTACATTCAATATTTTATTTTTTTTTTATTCAAGAGAAAAAATAACCCTTGGCATCATAGCCATCGAGGGTTTATTGTTTTAAAAAAAATGTGTTTTACTGTTAATTTTTGTGTACGACTAACCGGAGATAAATAGAATAAAAGATTTTATTTTCCTTTTTTTCAGATCTAAACAATATGGAACTAACTACAAATTTAGAAGCATTAAGCTCGGCCAATCATGAGTTTTCGTTTTCTTTGTACAAGGCAAAGAACTAATTTTTTTATTGTAAATAGGTATCATTTGTTTATCTAATAGCTAATAATTCTACTATAGGAAATAGCCAAAACTGAAACAGGAAATATTATCTATTCACCATTCAGTATCCACGTGATTATGTTCGTGGCTAGCACTGGAGCAGATTCAAAAACATTTGATGAAATAGTAGCCACTATGCATCTAAACAAAACTACTCATTCGATGGAAGCATATAGAAAATTATTGGAAGACTTAACCGTGAGTTTATTATGGCACGTCTCACATTTACAAATGTATGATACCTTTTATTTTTTAATGGTTTTTGACGTTTTTGATGTTCGAATAGGTAAAATTTTTATAATGTTTACTTATTTCACCATAAATTATGAATTTGATGGCAATTGAATATAAATTTCTTCCAAAATTTCATCGGTGATTTATTGTTAAAATTCAGTCTCATTATGTTGTTAAATAATGTATATATTTATGAAAATAGTTTAAAATGTAGACTTGATATCATAAGGTATATGTGTTGTACTTTAATACCTACTATTTTAGAGTAAAGATGATAATCTGAAACTAGCAACCGGAATGTTTGTCGATATAGCTTTCAATGTTAAAGATAGTTTTGTTGAAAACTCTATGAATTACCTAAAATCTTCCATGGAAAAATTGAGTTTAAAAAAAAACCCAGAACAACAACGCCAATATTTAAATAATTGGGTTTTAAACAAAACCAATAACAAAATTAAAGATTTATTTCCCAAAGGTTTTTATATAATATGTTTATAAATGAATATAAATAATGTAAGTTCCAATTTTTTTTTACAGGCTCCATTAATGAAGATACTGCCTTAGTATTGGTGAATGCTTTGCATTTTAAAAGTGATTGGGCACATAAATTTGATTATGTCAAAGATGGATCTTTTTATGCGACTCCAAGTAACATGATAACAGTGAAAATGATGTACCTAAAAGAAGATTTGCAATATTATCATGATAGTATCCTAAAATTCACCGCACTTGAATTACCCTATAAAGTAAATATTGCTTTATAATTAATGTAAATTTTGATTTTTGAAAAATGTATTATTTTGTATTTTTCTGTTTAGAATAATGATTTTAAAATGATAATTTTATTGCCTGAAGCTAAAGATGGCTTGGAAATTCTGGAAAATAACTTATCAATTATTAATTTGCATGCAATTTCAAATAATATGACCCAGACATACGTTTATGTCAAACTACCTCGTTTCAAATTAGAACAGTCTGTACAATTAGAAAAAACATTATCCAATGTAAGAATATTAATAAAAAAAAAAAAAATTATCTATATTTATTTATTTATATTATATTTTAGCTGGGATGTCCAACAATGTTTACATCAGAAGCAAACTTTTCTAACATTGTTGAAGATGGTGAACTGTATGTGAGTAAAGTCTCGCATAAGGCATATATTGATGTAGATGAAAACGGAACTGAAGCGGCAGCAGTCACTGGTAATATAGTTTATTTTCTTACTGTGGTACACGCACAGACTGGTAAAATAGGGCATGGGATGCTACACAATTCAAAGGTCAAATAACAAAAATTGTTGGGGAAAATTTAAAATAAGTAGATTATTTATAAAATATTAATAGGTATATTTTATGTTTTAAAAAAATATAGAATATACATTAAAAACATAAATAAGTACCAAGTTACAACAAACTTTCAATCAAAATTTTACAATATTATGGATTATCTACTAATAATCGTAAGTTGGTAACAATCTGCTGTTCATTAGGTGTCTAGAGTCTTTAAATATATAATAAATATATTTTAGGGCGAGGGATGCTGTAGCGTCCCAGTATGGCATTATCCCAGCCAGTCCGTGCCTGCAGTGGTATGGTTTTATTTTACTTATTTTTTTTGGTGGGGGGGGGGATAATATTCAATTATTAGTATTATTTCTGTAAGCATGTAAATACCTATTTACCGATTTAATCATTAATAAAACTGTAATACTGTATTTATATGTATAATATTTAAAAAAAAAAACATTCAATTTACCTTGAGTAAATATAATTAAATGAATAAGCCAATTAAAAACATTTTAAATATAATTAGGTTTTGAATGTTGTGATGGCTGTGGTGGTTGTGCAAGAAGTTTTACAGATTTTGTTGTTGATCATCCATTTTACATTTATGTTTTTTTATTTTAACTAGATGTAATATTATTATATTTGTAGGCCGCATGGCCAAAATTGATTAATTGGCATTAATGTTATTTTATTAGGTAGGTACTCTTGTTAATATTACTTTTTTCAAATAATTTATACTATAGATATTATAATATGTTTTTTTATTTATTTATTCTGTTATCAAATGTATGAGTGGTATGAGTAAATACAAATAAATAAGTGCATATTCTGTGTATTTTTAGTTAATAATAATGTATATTATATATTTTAATATTTATATATTTTAATTTATTTTACTGTAGCTTTTATCCATACTCCTTAGTCCTTTAGTTCTTACATTGTTATTCCATTAATTGCTTCCTGTAACAATAAATTATTTTAATAACGATATTGATCAAGGAAAATTGTTATCTAGGCTTGAAACCGTTTCAAATTGTACGGTTTCTGATTTCATCAACATTTTTTTTTAATTTTCTAATTTTGTGTCATTTTAGTCATTATGAGCTGAACTATGAATCAGAATAGGTATATTGATTTTATGTATTTTTTTTTTTAAATTATCAGGAGTTTTGAGTTGGGAAAAGGAAAAAAAAAGAAAAAAAGGGGCATTTTAATGCCAAACCAGTTTTTAACAACATTTAAGTTTTACTGGTGTCACTCAAAAATAAACAACCTTAAATAGGTCCTTGACATTTTCACCAAATGTGTATTTGTATCTATTATATTCAGTAAAATAATAATATTTAGTTTATAAGTAAAATAAATTACTTGAATAACAATATCATAAAATTTACTTTTAAAGGAGCCTTTTTTTTTGTCAAAAACTTCTGTTTCTAATTCCAACGATTCGTGCTGGAAATGATCACAATTTTCATTCTGAAAAAATATTCGGATTGTCCATAATATATATACAAGGGAACGATCGAGCCACATTTTAGTGGTTTTACAATGGTTTTTTTTTTTTTGTTCAACATAATATAGTATTTTAACTTATGGTAAACTGGATCAAGATGGTACTTTATTTTTCGACTCTCAATAGTTATTTAATGCCAAGGGAATAACTATTGACAAATTACGAAAAACCGCTAAAAATGGGGTTTTAATTTCTAACGCTTTGTTTATCACCATTATAGAAATTAATAAAAATAAAAATAATGATTTTAGTAATTTATAATATTAATTCAACTTACAGGCTATTATAATATATCAAAACCCAGACCGACAAAGAGTCCCTGCTATAATGTAAAAAAAAGCAAAAAAATGCCAACGGCACGTAGTGTTCCCAAGCGGTCACCCATCCAAGTACTAACTACGCCCGACGTTGAATGTTTTAAAATTTATATTTTTTGTTTGATATTTTTGTTATTGTATATCTTGCTTACTTACCTATTGCGATAGAGCTACTTACAGCAGCTTTATTGATAGACCAATTGCTATCGGGTACAAATTTAGTAGAACTAATTTTTTTTTCTAAATTACACATTTTGCATTTAAACAAAAAATCATAATAAAAACCTGAACGAATTTCATTTACTAAATTCATATTCATAAAATTACAATCAAATCCACCGTCATGCTTGATATTTTGTATTTGAAAAAATATATAAGACATGTCAACTATTCTAAGTCCGTCTATTTCATTAGTTATTATTCTGAAAATTTTTAAGCAGTTATCATAGTAACTTATAAATTCAAACATATTTATTTTATCTCAGAATTATATTATAAATGTTATAAACATACTCTGTTG